GGAAACAACTCAATTTTTAAAAGGCAAAACATTTCAACAGGCATTTCACTTACATATACAAATGGCTAAAAAGCACAAGAAAAGACACTCGCCATCATTTGTCATTGGGGAAATGTAAATCAAAACTATAATGAGATATTACCTTTTAACCACAAGAATGGTATGTATTGCTACAGATGTACAGAAAGTGGAACCCTCAGCCAGGTGCAGTGGCTCGCGTCTGTAATCCCAGGACTTTGGGAGGCCAAGGTGGGCAGATCACTTGAGCCCAGGAGTTTGAGAACAGCCTGGGCAACATGGCAAAATCCCATCTCTACAAAAAATATAAAAATTAGCTGGATGTGGTAGTACTCACCTGTAATCCCAGCTACTCAGGAGGCTGAGGTGGGAGGAGCAATTGAGCCCAAGAGATTGAGGCTGCAGTGAGCCAAGATCATGCCATTGCACACCAGCCTGGGTGACAGAGCAAGACCTTGTCTCAAAAAAAGACAAAAAGAAAAAGAAAATTAGAACCACTATACACTGCTGATGGGAATGTGATGTGGGGCAGTCACTTTGGAAAACAGTTTGCTAGTTTCTTAAAATGTTAAATATTTATTTCCTGTATGACTCAGCAATTCCACTGCTGGGTATCAACCCAAGAGAAATGAAAACATATGTCCACACAAAGTCTTGTACATGAATGTTCATAGCAGTGTTGTGCAGTTTAAAATAGCTAAAAAAGGCCGGGGGCGGTGGCTCAAGCCTGTAATTCCAGCACTTTGGGAGGCCGAGGCAGGTGGATCACGATGTCAGGAGATTGAGACCATCCTGGCTAACACGGTGAAACCCCATCTCTACTAAAAAATACAAAAAACTAGCCGGGGGAGGTGGTGGGTGCCTGTAGTCCCAGCTACTCGGGAGGCTGAGGCAGGAGAATGGCGTAAACCCGGGAGGCAGAGCTTGCAGTGAGCTGAGACCCGGCCACTGCACTCCAGCCTCGGCGACAGAGCGAGACTCCATTTAAAAAAAAAAAAAAAAAAGCCAAAAAAGCTGAAAGAGCCAAACTGTCCTTTAACTGATGAATGGATAAACAAAATGTGGTCTACTCGCACAATGGATTATTCAGCAATAAAAAGGAATTAAATACTGATACATACTACAACATACATGAATCTCAGAAACATTATTCTAAGTGAAGGAAGTCAGGTGCAAAAGACTGTGTAACATAGGACTCCATATGAATTGTCCAGAAAAGGCAAATCTACAGACAGAAAGTGATTGTCTGAAGCCAGGTGGGAATGGGGAATGACTGCAAAGGAGTTCCAGGGAGTTTTGGGGGGCTGGGGATGGAAAAGTTATAAAATTTATTTCACAACTCTGTAAACTAACTGAAAATAATTCATTTGAAACAGGTGAATGTTATGGCATGTCAATGACACATCAATAAAGCTATTTCTTTTAATGGTGCCATCAACCCCAGCCCATTGACCCTAAACTGAAGGAAGACAGATGCTAGATGTGTTCAGTAGGGCTCCATCAAAGTTGATTTTTTGAAGTTGTGGGCACCATTCCAAGTAAGGCCAGGTCAGGTCTTACCAACGCAGGCCTCCATAACAACTGTCTTAGTACTGACTGTGTGGTTAAGGTAAATATTAAAAGCCAGTGCCCTTATACAAAGGCTGAAATATAACAAAATCCTACCAAGAGTTTTGCCTAGACCTTTCCTGGGCCTTCAAGCATGACAAAATAACAAAGGAATTCTTAACAGGACCCATTTAGGATTAAACACGTTTTATTGGGGGTCTGAAGAAACTCCCCAGGCCTCCACAAATAGGTTTACTGGGGGTCTGAAGGAACTCCCCAAACTCCCACGATTTAGGAGACAACATAAGGGTTTTAGATTAAGTAAATTTACTGAGGATGCAGAGGAAGGTCTTCAGGACTCAGACCTTAGGTATAGATTAAAAGAAGTCAATTACTTATGTCTTTAGATGAATGCACACTTACACGTAGACACATAGCTTAGAAGGTATATAAGCTCTGGAAAACTGTAATTTTGAGTTGGTCTGGCGATAATTTCCAGGTCTTATCCTTGTAACTGGTTACAGAAATAAAAACTTTCTTCCTCCCCAGTTCATCTACATCTCATTATTGGACTGTGAGAAATAGCAGCCCACCCTCAGTTTGGTCCCGGAACAGTTTGATCTCTTCTTGGCCAATCTCCGGTGAAACCCACCAGAATGGAGGAGAGCCGGGACCTGGTGCACTGTCAGCTTCCAAAACTCCTTCACGTGGTCTCAGTCCTCCAGGGATTATGATGGGTGTGAAGGAGCTGGGCATTCTCTAAGGAGCCAGCATACGACACCCAGCTCACCACCCACCAACCGCATCCTCACTGTCATCTCCAAGGCTCTTTCATGTCCTCTTCCTGCCTTTCGGGGGGCCACTCCCTCTGACTCCACCACCCTGCCCTCCTGCCCTCCCCAACAAACCTGACTGATTTCTGGAGCAGGGCCTTCCCCCATGTGAGCTTTTCTCCTTGGCATGCTTGTGCCCTAGATTTCCACACACTGCGTCCCTCGCCATTGGTATCCCTAGGGACACCTGCTCACCAGCTTCCGGCTGCAGGCATGTTCTAGCACAGGCCTGCTTGTTCTCATCAGTGTTCAACCAACATTGGCTGAATCACTAAATCAACATGCAGAATGTGGGTAACCTGAGAATGGGCACTCATTTGCCAGGTTTCTCGAAAGACCTAATCTCTTAGTCTTCAAGATATTTGTCTTGGGTGCGGTCATGGGCCAGACCCAAGACTAGAACCCCAGGAGTATGGAGACCAACTGCTGAGTCCCCGCTCCTCCAAGGCTCCCTGACATGAGACCAACTAAGACAGCATAACCCATGCGGCAGGACAGGCTCCTGGGGTGGCAGCTGTGTTCATCATCTTGACTGGGTCAAGATGTATCCAGCTATTCCTTTTATGTGCAGTTTATTGTACACATCTGATGAAGCATATTAAGACAAAAAAAGGGAACAAAAAAAGGAAACAAAGACCACAAAGGAGGGACAGGGAAGAACCCGGAACGCGCTGGCAGCACAGGGAAGAGGCAGGTGTTTGCAGTCAGACTTGAGTTCCAGGTCCCACTCAGCCCTTCCTGCTTGGGACCAGAGCACTGTCCCAGATCTCTCCAAACCTGTTTTCCCATGGGTGAAAGAATGGCTCGGGAAGGATTTACTGTTCTTTCCTGAGAACTCAGCGGTATTGAACACAGTGCTGCCTCACAGTAAACACTGACAAATGGTGAGCATTGTTGAGGGCAGGGCCTCGACCTACCACCACACCCAGTTTTCTTCATGAATTTTCCACTCCCCTGCCTCCCGCACCGCTGGGGCTGCACCTCCCGGCAAGGAGCCCTCACAAACTCAGGCCTCACTGTGCCTTATCCCCCACCTGATTCCAAATCAAAATACAACATTTCTTGAAGGGGTGGCCTGCCCCTCCACACCTGTGGGCGTTTCTCGTTAGATGGAAGGAGAGACTTGAGAAAAGAAATGAGACACAGAGACAAAGTATAGAGAAAGAAAAAGTGGGCCCAGGGGACCGGAGCTCAGCATTCAGAGGACCCATGCCGGCACCGGTCTCCGAGTTCCCTTAGTATTTATTGATAATTATCTTTACCATCTTAAAGATAAGGGAGTGGCTGGACAATAGGATCATCGAAGGGAGAAGATTAGCAGTAAGACATATGGATAAAGATCTCTGTGACATGAATAAGTTCAAAGGAAAATGCTGTGCCTTGATACGCATATGCAAACATCTCCATAAACCTCTTAGCAGCATTGCTTCAGCAAGTCCCACCTTATGCCCTAAGGTGGTTTTCTCCTATCTCAGTAAACAGAGCATACAATCGGGTTTTACACCAAGATGTTCCATTGCCCAGGGACGGGCAGGATCTTTAACCAGCAAGCTGCCTTCAGGCACTTGTTTAACAAAGACACATCCTGCACAGCCCAAAATCCATTAAACCTTGAGTCACCACAGTACACGTCTCTTGCAAGGACAAGGTTGGGGGTAGGATCACAGATTAACAGCATCTCAAATACAGAACAAAATGGAGTCTCTTATGTCTACTTCTTTCTATATAGACACAGTAACAGGCTGATCTCTCTTTTCCCCACATTTCTCTCCCCAAATGTGTACACAGCACTCCTCTAAATTAAAGGGCTGTGTGCTGGCTCTGAGTACCCCTGGCCTTTGGCGCTGGGGTTCACTGGCCTGCAGCCTGCGCCCCATGGCCCTGCGTTCTGCATCCCTCCCTGTGAAGCGATGTCCTTGTCTGGGTAAATACCCAATTCATCTTCTGGCCCCAAGAAAATTAAGGACAGGTGATCCACGACACTGGGCCTTCCAAAGTGCTGGGATTACAGACCTGAGTCACCGCTGCCGGCTGCCTAAATAATTTCTTCTTAACTCCTATATCACCTGAGAGCCCGGGGCGCAGTTCCCCAGTCAAGCTTGGGTACTGAACTTCCCCACCTCGCCTTCTCAAGGCGCCTCCGCGTTTAGGGTATGGAACCTGTTCACAGCCAACCCAGATAGGGCTGGGGGCCGGGCAGGGCAGCCCGGAGCCTCGTCCTCGTCCAGGGTCAGGCGGTCGGTGCTGAAAATAGCAGCTCATGGAAGGCGGGGAGTGGGGAGGGTGGAGTGGGAAGAGGCCGGAGACTGCCACGGCGTCGGGGTATCCCGCCCTCACCGGGACCCGGGGACCCCGGAGACTAGCCCCCCGGCCAGGCTGCGCCACCGCGCCCATCCTGCTTTCGGGTCCCAGGCACCCACAGCGCGGCCGCGCCCACCTGCCCGCCGGCTCCCCAGGACCCAGGGTCTCGGAGGCTGGGGCGGCGGCCAGCCTGAAGCCTCGCGGCCCTGAGCGCGCCCCCGGCCCGGCTGTCGGGTGCACCCCGGATTTCCGCCCTCAGCGGCTCCCTCGCGGGCACCCGGGGCCAAGACCCGCACTCACCAGTCAACGTCTGCAGCAGCTCGGCCATGGCTCAGCGTCTGGTCTCCGCCGCCGCCTTCTGCCCGGCAGCCCTGGGGCGGGGTGAGCTCGAGGCGCCCCCTCCCGGCCCGCGCCGCCCCGCCCCGACTTGCAGAAGCCGGACTCGGGTGGGGACAGCGAGGCGCGGGAGGCGGCCAGGGGTCCCCAGGGACTCCTGCTAGGAAGGGAGGGCGCCCCCTCGCGCGCGCCCCCATGGGACCCGCGCGCCCCTCGCAGCCCTCCTCCCCTGGAGCCCTGTCACTGCATCCCGCCCGAGGCCGAGCCGCTCCGGGTGCCCCTGAAGCCCCATCTATAGAGGACTGTGTACTCACAAACGAGAAGTTCCCGATAAGCCGTGCTCTTGCAAACAAAGCAGGACATGCCTTCTCTGCAAACAAGAAGGATAAAGGAGCCAGCTGTAAGCAGCGGGCTTTGGGAACTGGTCAATGTTTTACTGATATTGGGAGTCAAGGAAAGGTCAGAGAAGCAACACATGTGCCCTGACTTGGCAACATTCCACAAACGACTGGATAAAATAAAGCAGTGTGTGCCGTTCGGGGCGGCCGCCATGTATGTCTTGTCCTGTGTTGTCTTGTGTGTTCATTCCTTTGTTTGGGAAACACGCGGACCCCAACACCCGCCCCCGGGGGACCCCTTGACGCCCTGTCCCCGGAGCGGGGGCGACCCCCTGACATCCTGCTCTCCCGGGGGTGCGGGGGAGACGAACCCCTGAAGCTCCGGCCCCAGAACCACGACCCCCGGCTTCCCGGCTCGCACGCGCCGGGCCCTCCAGCCCCGCAAGACCCTGTGCCCCGCGCCGGCGACGCCCCTCTGGGCAGAGTCGATCCCCCGGCCCAGGCCCGCGGCCCCACAGAGCTCTGCGCCCCGCACACTGAGGAACCTTCGCGTTCCGGCTGCGATCGAGTCCCCCTCCGGCGCCCGCCCCGGGGCCCTGAGGCCCCTTTGCGCATTCCGCGGACTAAGCCCTGCTCCGCCCCGCCAGGACCCTAGCCTTTGCCTGGCCTCCGCCCAAGGAAGCCCAGGAAAGGGCGGCGGCGGCGGCAGGGACTGGGGAGAGCGCGCCCCACTGCGAAGAGGAGGAACCTCCCGAAGGCTCCAGGCTACGTCCCAGAGGCGTCTTCCTTCTTTTCCTGGTATCTCTCAGAGGGGTTTACACTGATACCCCGTTCACAGGACCCTGATCCCGTCCCGCCCTCCCCGGGCTCCGTTCTCATCTCCGTGAAAGCTGAGAGCATCTTTAATGCTTCCTTTCCCTCCCACCCAAAGTCCAGTTCGCCAGCTCCAAGACGTGTCCCTGGTGCAGGCGCAAGAAAAAAGTGTGGCAATTCCTCAAAACATCCAACAGAATTACCATACGAGGCCGGGCACGGTGGCTCACACCTACAATCCTAGCACTTTGGGAGGCCGAGGAGGGCAGATCATTTGAGGTCAGGAGTTCAAAACCAGCCTGGCCAACATGGTGAATCCTCCATCTCTACTAAAAATACAAAAATTAGCCGGTCGTGGTGGTTCGAGTCTGTAGTCCCAGCTACTTGGCAGGCTGAGGCAGGAGAATCGCTTGAACTTGGGAGGTGGAGGTTGCAGTGAGCCAAAGTCGCACCACTGCACTCCAGCCTGGGCAACATAGCAACACTCCGTCTAAAAAAATATATATATATATATATTATTACTGAATGAGCTGGCAATCTTTTGGGTATACACCCAAGGAATTGAAAGGGGGTCTGGAAGAGACATGTGCACATGTTGGAACCGAACTGTCGATTCCCTCCTGGGCAGGGGTCGCCGCGAAGGATCACCGACACGAGATTCACAGCAGAGAGTTATTTATTACTAGCGCGCTAGGGTCCCAAGCTCTAAGTTGGCCCTGGGACCCCGAGTGCTTGTTACAGGTTGTTTATATAGGCAAACACAAGTTCAAACACAGCTTAAGGCGCGAAATTCAAACAAAGCTTTAGGCGCAAAATGATTGGGTCTAGCTATAGCCTGAGCAAGGGGTCTTGTTTTAATTGGTTAGAGCAGGACCTTATGAGGTTTTTTCCTGGAGTTGTCGATTCCGGGAACTTCGAGGCAGGGTGGGACCCCTGGAATTGGCAGGGTGGGACCCCATGAAGTTGTTTCCCGGAATTGGCAGGGTGGGACCCTATCAGGGTGGGACCCTATCGAGGCAGGGTGGGACCCTATCTAGGGCCACCTGGTGCTAACTTTTTAGGTTTTATGAGGCCTAGTTTCACACACCCGTGTTCCTAGCAACAGAACTCACTATAGCCAAAAGCTGGAAGCAGCCACAGTGTTCACCAAGGCGTGATGGCTGCACTGAGTGGGTCTGTCTGTAGACGGAACACTACTCAGCCTTAGAAAGGGAAGAGACGCTGACACCTGCTACAGCTGAAAGGAATCAAACACATTCCTCCATATATCTCTCAACTTCCTGAGCCCAGCACAAACACATTCCTCCATATTTCTCTCAAACTTCAGAAAAACACCACCTGGGAAATCTCCGATAAGGACACAGCGGGAACCAATAAAAAATGCTAAATGTGCTGTAACCGAGAGAATTACCTTGTTCCCCTGTAACTTTACATATCCTGTTTACATCGGGCTATAAAAAGCAATCACTCGCATTGTTCGGGGCCCTCTTGTATGTTGTGGAATGGAGGGACCAAGTTCGAACTTGTAGTAAAGATCCTTGCCGCTTGGCTTTGACTCTGGACTCTGGTGATCTTCTTTGGGGAACAAACGGTCTGGGCATAACACAGCGTGGATGAACCTTGATGCCTTATGCTAAGTAAAAGAAGCCAGTCCAACAAGGAAAAATGCCAGGTGATTCTATTTACTTTTTTTTTTTTTTTTTTTTTAGCAGAGTCTCCCTCTCTCACCCAGGCTGGAGTGCCATGGTGTGATCTCGGCTCACTGCAACCTCTGCCTCCCAGGTTCAAGCGATTCGCCTGCCTCAGCCTCCCGAGTAGCTGGCACCACAGATGTGTGCCACCACGCCCAGCTAATTTTTGTATTTTTAGTAGAGACTGGGTATCACTATGTTGGCCAGTCTGGTCTAGAACTCCTGACCTAAGGTGATCCCTCTGCCTTGGCCTCCTATAGTGCTGGGATTACAGATGTGAGCCACCATGCCTGGCCACGATTCCACATATCTGAGGGACTACAGTCATCAAATTCATAGAAATAGGAGAATTGTGGGTGCCTGGGGAAGGCAGGAACGGGAGCTGTGAACAGTGTTGAGTTTCAGTCTGGGAAGATGAAAAGGGTATTATAGATGGATGCTGGTAATGGCTGCACAATGATGTGAATGAACTCAACACCATGGAGCTGTGCATGTTTGTATAGTTGAGATGGTAAATTTTATGTGTCTTTTACCACAATAAGGAAGGAAGGAAGAAAGGGAAGGATGGAGGAAGAAAAGGGGAAAAAAGGAAGGGAGGGAGGGAGAGAGGGAAATTCCCTGTGGGCAGCCCTTAACTATTCAAAGAGGGACAAGTGGGACAAGCCTGGAGGCTCTATTCCTGCCCCTGAAGAACTCTGGCCCAAGACTGCCCTGCCTGCAGACCCCACTCCAACAGGCCACTTCTGAGATCGCAGAGCCCTGCTGGTCTCCAGGTCCACGACCAGGGAGCCCTACATGGGGAGGGTGTTCTCCCCTCCACCCACCCATAAGCTGAGGGTTAGGCTGCAGCCCAGCATCCTGGTGCCACCTGCCCTGTTTGTGGGGCTGAGTGTTCTCCCTGGTCAGGCCTGGCACATGGAAGGAGCTTAGTAATCAGCTATGGATCCAGTCCTCTGAGTCTGTGCCCTGTATCGTGAGGGACACCAGAATATGTCACCCCAAAATGAGCCTCAGAAATTATCTTGAGCTGAAGGCAACTAAGATACAGCAGAAGCAGAGAAATCTCTCTCTGCCCTGTCCCTCTGCTGCCTGAGGCAGGATGGACATTCTCTTTATAGGAAAGAGACGCATCAGCTAGAGAAAATAAGGCATCCGAGGACTCTGTGAACGAAGCTTCTGCCTTGGTTTCCTCCCAATACTCACCTTGCCAGTTTCTCAAACTTGGAAGCCTAAAACCGCTCTCCTGGGTCCTGTCATTTCCCCACATGTTGATTATTCTTTGTTGAAGATGCTCCATAACCCAGTTCTCAATCACTGTTCTGAGTTGCTTTTTGTTGAGGTTTCTCCAGTGAGATGTGCACTACATGCATCAATGAACTGTTTTTCTCTTTTGTAAAGAGCCCCAGTTGGAACCCTAAGAGGAGCAGAAGGCAAATTTCACTCACATACCACCACACAGTGGCTTACCATGTTCGGGGCTGGGGGCTAGTCCGGGTGCTCGCACCTTTTGGCTGACTTTCTAGCCCCCACTCCTCGTCCCATCAGCTCACTGTTTCCATAAAACATTTGTTATGGCGATGTGCAAGGAGCTCCCTGCCGCTGCCCTGAACTTCTTCCCTGAAAACAGCCAGCCAGTGTTCAGAGGATGGGAAGGAATAAAAGGCTCTGTAAAGGAGAGCCCGGTCAGACCAGGAGGTGTAAGTGTGAAACCGATGTATTACTCACAAGGGCCTGGGCCAGGGAAGGACTTGGTTCAGAAGAATATACAGTCTTGCCCAAGGTCTTGCAGAATTCAGGGCAACGTTGTGGCCCAAACCCAGGTCCAAGGAGACTTCCATTCTGGTTTGCATGTGTTGGAAGCAAGTGCTCGGCATAGCCAAAAGAAACCCGCACTTAGAACATTTCTCAGCAAGTCACCTTTACTTCTGCAGAAGGGTGCTGCTTGTGCCTGTTACAGTCCCAAGAGCACATCGAACAGAGGAGGGAAGGGATTTTTATCCCTAATTTCTGTTTCTGTGTCCTCCCCTTATTGGCTGGGGTTGGACTGCATAACCTAAGCTGATCCCGAATCACCAAGGCTTAAACCTTCCCAAATAAGGTAAATGTGCGATTTTTGAAAAGGTTGGGTGGGATAGGATTGGTTTACAAATTATGGCCAGGAAGTTGAATCTTTGAAGAGGAACCTAGTTGTCCAAA